ACTCCCACCACCACCAACACAGTTAATCCTCTCCAACCCCCAAAATGCCAAACCCCCCCACAATCCTCCTCCTAGGCACCTTCGACACCAAAACCCCCGAACTAACCTACACTTACCAAACGCTCCTCTCCCAGTCCCCTCAACCACACATCCTAACCCTTGACGTCAGCCGCCAACCGCCAACACCAAACCCCAAAATCGCAATCAACTACACAATCCCGCAACACGACCTCCCCGCCCCCCGAGCCGAGTACATAAAAGCCGCCTCCGAGCACGCGACCACCATTGTCGCCGACCTGTACCAGGGACACAAAATCCATGGCATAATTTCACTCGGCGGGTCATGCGGGACGAACATCGCGACGGCGGCGATGCGGAACGCGCTTCCCGTTGGGTTCCCGAAGCTGATGGTGTCGACGATGGCGAGCGGGGATGTGCAGCCGTACGTCGAGGAGACGGATGTGACGATGATGTATAGCGTTGTGGATATTGCGGGGCGGAATTGGATCCTCGAGGGGATCTTGCGCAATGCTGCGTGTGCGATCTTGGGGATGGCGGTTGGGTATCTTCATTCTGATTCTTTGGCTGGGGGATTAAGTGATGGTGGTGGGGGGTCTGGGGAGAGGAAGAAGATTAGGGTGGGGATTACGATGTTTGGGGTGACGACACCTGGGGTGGATCGCGTTCGGGCGCGTTTGGAAGATGTCTACGGGTTTGAGGTGTATGTGTTTCATGCGACGGGGGCCGGGGGCAAGGCGATGGAGAGGCTGGTGAGGGAGGGGCTGTTGGATGCGGTGGTGGATTTGACGACGAGTGAGGTCGTCGATGAGGTTATGGGGGGTGTGCTGTCTGCTGGGCCGCAGCGGTTGGTGGCTGCTGCGAGGGCGGGCATTCCGCAGGTCGTCAGTGTGGGCGCGTGTGATATGGTGAATTTTGGGCCCCGGGATACTCTCCCCGAGCGGTATGAGGGTCGGTTGATCTATGAGCATAATCCGACGGTCACGTTGGTGAGGCCGAATGCTGAGGAGACGGTGGAGGTGGCGAGGTTTATCGCGGAGAAGTTGAGGACTTGTGCTGCGAAGCCGGACTTGATTCGTTTGGTGCTTCCGACGGGTGGGATTAGTATGATTGATACGCCTGGGCAGCCGTTTTATGACCCCGAGATGGATGAGGTGTTGTTTTCTACGTTGGAGAAGGAGCTGGATGGGAGTGGGATCTCCATCGTCAGGGATCCGAGAGCTATCAACGATCCCGAATTTGCGGTCAGCGTGGCGGATATGCTGGGGGATTTGGTCAAATCATTGTAAATCGTATGAGAATGGGTCGTGACATGGATGAAACAGAATGGCCATTGTATACATGATGGATCCGTTGATATGACGGGATGATGCAGTTTACGAAACTTATTCAGGCAATTTTTGAGGCAATTTTTTTATTATTTAAATGCTCTATAGCACGCCTCGGTCTGGCTCTCTTCTAATCGCCAAACGTATTGTGAACATTAAGACATGACCCATTAGTACGCACTGTTGAATGCAACATAGGCAAGCCGACCCATAAACACTATCCGTAATAACCCCCATATATGCCACTTTTATTGCCGTTGAAGACAAAATACTTTTGAGCCCAAGTTAAATGGAACTCTATGTTATTCGTAACATCGTGATATGTTGAAAAGAATCTAGGTTAGGGTATACCAATCATCAACAAACGGAAAGGAGGAGTTTAGTAGCGGTAGTGGTCGGCCTTGTAAGGACCCTCGGTAGGGAGGCCAAGGTACTCAGCCTGGACAGGGGTGAGCTTGGAGAGCTCGGCGTTGACGTGCTCAAGGTGGCACAGAGCAACCTGTTCGTCGAGAACCTTGGGGAGGACGTAGACGCGACGGGCTTCTTGCCAGTGGAGCCGAACTCGACGTACTTCTGGCCGAACGCAGCATCCTCGGCCTTGTAGAGGGCGATCTGGGCAAGGACCTGGTTGGAGAAGGAGCAGGACATGACGAAGGAAGAGTGACCGGTGGCACAGCCAAGGTTGACAAGACGACCCTCAGCAAGGAGGATGATGTGGCGGCCGTTGGCCATCAGGTAACGGTCAACCTGGGGCTTGATGTTCTGAACGGACTTGGCGTTAGCCTTGAGCCAGGCAACGTCAATCTCGATGTCGAAGTGACCGATGTCTAGTCTTGTCAGTATAGATTACATCCGGGTGATCAGCGACAGCTACTTACTGCAGACGATAGCATCGTTGCGCATGACCTCGAAGTGCTTGCCAACGAGGATGTCACGGCAACCGGTGGTGGTGACGAAGATCTGACCAAGGGGAGCGGCCTTCTCCATGGTGGTGACCTCGAAGCCCTGGACAGCGGCCTGGAGAGCGTTGATGGGGTCAATCTCGGTGACCAGGACACGGGCACCCATGCTGTGGAGAGCCTGGGCACAGCCCTTGCCGACGTCACCGTAGCCGGCAACAACGGCGACCTTTCCGGCAATCATGACGTCGGTAGCACGCTTGATACCGTCAATGAGGGACTCACGGCAACCGTAGAGGTTGTCGAACTTGGACTTGGTGACGGAGTCATTGACGTTGATGGCGGGGACGAGGAGCTTGTTCTCCTTCATCATCTTGTAGAGGTGGTGAACACCAGTGGTGGTCTCCTCGGAGACACCGAAGCAGTCCTTGAGCTGCTCAGGGTACTTCTCGTGGACGAGGGAGGTCAGGTCACCACCGTCGTCAAGGATGAGGTTGAGCTTCTTGCCATCCTTGAAGGCAGAGAGCTGCTGCTCCAAGCACCAGTCGTACTCCGCATCGGTCTCACCCTTCCAGGCGAAGCTAGCATGCGTTAGTCTCGGAGTAGTCGGGGATTGTTCCTCCAGTACTTACACAGGGACACCAGCGGCGGCGATGGCGGCGGCGGCGTGGTCCTGGGTGGAGAAGATGTTGCAGCTGGTCCAGGTAACCTCGGCACCAAGGGCAACGAGGGTCTCGATGAGGACAGCAGTCTGGATGGTCATGTGAAGACAACCAGCAATGCGGGCACCGGCGAGAGGCTGATCAGCGGCGTATCTGCGACGGATGGCCATCAGACCGGGCATCTCAATCTCGGCGAGCTCGATCTCGCGGCGACCGAAGGCGGCCAGGGACTAGGGGATGGTCAACAATCTAAGCACGACAGTATCTTCGGCACCTTGGGAGACACGTACGATGTCGGCGACCTTGAACTTGTGGGCGGGAGCAGCCATGGTTGCTGATTATGATGGTATAAGGAGAAAAGGAAGAGGTACTGTTGAGTACTGTTAGCAATGGGTATCTTCGAAGAGAAAAAAAATAAGGCGGTAGGCAGGACTTACTGAGAGGTGTATCAAAAAGGGTATGAGAGGATGGAAAGAGGAGAAGAAGAGTGGATTGGGGGGGAGGGGAGAGAAGAATTAATAGGAGAGGAGCAACAGAAAAAGAATGAGAGAAGAGGGGCCGCTGAGGCACTGGCGGCCCTGGCCTGGCGGGGCTGTTGATTTTCTCTCCGGACTAACTGTCGTCCCGGACCACCTTTGGATTAGCGTTTATCAGCCGGAGCAGATTATGCAAAGCCTGTCGAATGTAGTAACAGTCCACTGGGGTTCAGAATACCTTGTACACAGTAGGTTGCAACTGCCACTCAGCAGATGGTCATTGCCTTGTTTTTGACCATGCAGTACATACAATGCCTACATCTATACGCACTGCCTGTCGACCGTTTAAGTTTGGTCACCTGACCCCAAGGTTGGGTGCCTCAGAAAACGGCCCGCCAATAACCTATCAGAACTGTCACATGCGCTGACACCCCCCGAAAGGTCCCCATGCGTTCATCTTCTCCTCTTCTTCGATGCAATTGAAGGATCTGGCAGATACGAAGTGCAATCCACAAGCAATCAATACCCTGATCCAATTGGAGCTACTAATGTACCAAATCTGACATAAGAGGTACTCTACTCGAAATGAAGAAACGAGGAACAGCAACAATTCACCCAAGATGCTAACTCAGAAAGTAAGAAACACTAAAGCCCTTCCAAATCTCCATGTCTCAACGCACCTACAAGAGGAATACAAAGCACAGACAATGATGTAGATACAACAAACCATAGCGGGGAAGACGCGAGGGGTACGCCCGCGGCCAAGATCTGCACGATTGATTTTACCGCAGATCACCGAATGCGAATGTTCACATTCCAGGCGAGCCCAAGAATGCCAATTAAGTGTAACGTCATCGCATATCCACCGGTCGTAAAAGAGACTCCCCAGAACCTTTCAATTCCCCGTACTCGAACTTGACTGTACACTTTGTATACGTTCTCCAATTCATAAACAATGAAGCTCTTTCGTTTGTTTACCTCCGCTGCCCTTGCTTCTCTCGCGGTGGGCACCCCCCTTCGCGATGTTATCCTGAGCGCCGACACGTCCTGCCAGATTCAGGGAGGGGATGAGGCTGCCAATTTGGCATGTCGTGCTATTGTATTTTGTCCCTGTTTGATCACTTACGATATAGAGGCTAATCAATCGGTATAGTGCATTGATCAAGGTCACGGATGGACGGGTGGGTATTGTGACGATAAGCAGTATGCTCTTATTCCGGAATCATGATGGGAAAGGGGAGTGCTAATGATGTTAGAATCTGCCACTGTACGTTTGAGGGACTGTCTGGAGTATAGGGCTGCTGTCGATGGTATCCCTTATTAGAGGCCGGACGGTGAATGAGTATGTGGATACATTTACTTCGTGTATGCTATGCACAAATAGCTAGTGCATTCTCGGTTCAATTGAATTTGCAGATTGCAGACAGTCATAGATATACTCTCGTTAAAGAAAAGTCATGCATTAAAATACTGGTATACGGCCGTAAGAGTGAACATGAAACTCGAATAATCTTCCAAATCAAACGCCGTCGTTGAACCTATAGTAGTTCATCCATCTCTGCGAGACGTTAGCTGCTATCACAAAAGTCGGTACAGGAAACAAACCTTATCATATGGCTTCGAGGAATCGCAGAATCGCAGATCGGTTGCAAGACGGATGACGTTGTCTTCGTCGTTGTTGATAGTTGACGCATGGATCTCGAGAGTCCGTTAGCCAATGCGTCAAGCTTTATCATGTATAGATGAACTTACGACATGAGGCTTGTGCAATACCACATCGCCCGCCTCAAAGGCCGAGACAAGCAACGTCGGTCATGTTCCTTAGCAAACTCCGCCGGGAATTCCGAAAGCAGACCAGTCGACATCATATTCGAGTTGAAGGCCGACTTAGCCTCTTCCTCCGTCAGACCAGCCTTCAATGCCTTGGCGGTGAACTCGTCTTCAATCTTCTGGCCGATTGAGTCGCCTGAAGAATGTTAACTCTGGATCACATACTCCACTCTCCGGCACCTACCATTTTCGAGATAAATCAGACCTCCACCGTTAATCTTAATATCACCAATAGGCACCCAAGCAGTCACAGCCGTCGGCTCTCCATACCGAAGGAAGATCTGATCATAGTGAACACCAATCGGCTTCGAACCAGGGATATTGTTTCTCAGGAGCGTCCGCTTGAAGGTCAAAGTATCCTGGCCCCAGCCGGTGAACTTTGCGATAAAATCGTACAAAGCGGGGTGGTTGACCACGTTCTTGGTGTACCAGTCCTTGTAATGGGCCTCGATGGCCTTGTCGACAAACTGCGCCGCACTGTCTCCACCGGGGCGGCCATTCCCGCCCACATGGCCGGCTCCAATGCCGGGATAGTCGTCGATAGATTTCGACCGGTTAAAAACTCCCTCCACGGGCTCGGTGCCCTCCTGCAGAACCCCGGTCGGGGCGAGGTACTCGAAATAGGCCTTGCGGGCTTCCAGGATATCTTCGCGCGGTAGCACCTGCTTCAGGAAGAGGTAGCCGTCCTCATTGTAGCGCTTGCGGAGCTCCTCGACGGGGAGGTTGGGGTCGGAGGGGCGCAGGTAAGCTGCGTTCTCCGAGGTCAAAGGACCGTCGCTGACGGACAGTGTAGTTTCGGCTAGAACTCCGGGCATGTTGAAGAATATGTCTGATAGTTTAGGGAAATTGCAACAAAGGCCATTTTGGCCCGGGTTCGACACTGTCTTTATAGATTCAGCCCCTCGTCAACCCATTTAGGGACCGTGGATTGCAAATATCATCGTGTTCCACCCTGCCCCGCATCGGATAAGGAAGTGGTATTGCTTTATCACCAGTAGCAAGCCGCGAAGCTGTACTTGGTTGCTGGACGAGGCAATTTTACCCCATTGGGTGCTCTCCACATAGGCGGGCAACAATTCCCAATGCAGAATCCTGTGGGGTTTGTCCCCACGCACGGCGGGTAACTATTCCTGTTTGGAAGGTTGAAATGCTCATCCGTATAAAATCTCGCTCTAGAAATGGCGAAGTAGGCGGATTTGGCCTCGGAAATACGGCAGCTGATGGTCGGATTACAATTTTCAGTTGGTTATTTGTGGAATCTGTAAAGGGCACCTGTGACTTGCCTTTCATGGATAGAACTATGGCCATGACCTGCCGCAAATATATAGATAGGATTTGGGAACTCATTGAGGTCTCCATATTCTATAGTAGTGGAAGGGAGCAAAATCTGGAGAGGATCTGCTAGATTTCATAAAGTAAATCCTAAAGCATATTGCAGAAATCTTTAATTATCATAGACTAGTATAACTTATCCTTCCATCAGTGAAGTGTTTTCAAAAACTCCCGCTTAGCAAACTTTACGCACATTCACTCAAATAAAGCGCTGAGAATAGATGTAGACGCTCATAAACTGGGAAACCCTCGGCAGGGATCTTATAGCTGAGCGCTGACCTGGCCCTAGTAGATGAGATCTATGCTTCTGTCAGGCTGACTAGCTCTACGACCATTATCACGTGTATGCCCGATATACAACTTACCCCGCCAGCAGCCCCTTATCAAAAATATCGAAAATATTTGCCTATTACTCTGGCCAATTTCAATCTTCAGTTACAGCAATGCCTTATGATCAGCTTTCAGAGAACGCACGACTGATTATTGCGGAAATAAATGATATTATTATACGTAAACCAACGAAAGGAAATAGTAAGCCTGGGGGCTGGGAGTATAGTAACCAAGAGTTGTCTGCTGCAATCACCAGGCTAGAAAATGAATTAAATCAAGTTGATTTTTTAAGGTGAGTATCATTCGCATTACCCATGTGCTTCTTCTTACTCTCGAATTCAGGTCATTGAGACTCATGTGTTCTATATTATTTATGCCGGAAATATTTATAACCTTACATCTCACCTCCTTTTAATACCTTTGAATGGGTCTCCGAGATTTGATAAAAATAACGAGTCTTTACGAGAGAGCCACTATACCAGAGAGTCAGGAAAGATTAGCGGTCCTGATATCGATATTATTTCTGTTACGTTGAAAGAAAAATGATACAGTGTATATAGCCAATATACTGTTTAGGTAATGGGTGAAGTCGGTGCAAATAGAGGAATTGTCAATTAGTACGTTTCAGCTATAGAAGTTCACATAATGTTATGCTTCGGAAAAATGACCTAGTCAGAATATCCATAGCTATTCTACCCCCACGTAGTTCTGCAATCCACTAGGTGGCAGCCATAGTTAAGCGCGTACCCGCGTCATTTTTTCACCTCCTAGACGGCACAGCAGTATGAGAAATTTTAAAACGATGCGGCGTACTCCATCTAATTCAGGTATAAATTTATTTGGATTGTACATCTCAGCGGTATGCTCTTCGAAAGATCGTTCAACGAATAGTAAACCAATCCTTGTTCACGTGACATCACTAGCTTAACAAAGTGGGTCTTGAGTGGACCCACTGTCGACCCGTTCTACACTTAGTATGGAGTTCTTGATCACTGTATCTTATTTTCTCTATTTTATCACTACAAGTATATGCATTTTAAAAAAATAAATAAACGACAGACAGTTAAAGAAGTTCTGTAGGAGGTGGGGTTCGAACCCGGATAAGGGAGGCAGCAAAACAAAAACTTTAGCTTCTCTTTGATTGCGTGTCCCAGGGAAACCTGCTAAGTGCCAGTAGACCATGCCCCATAGGGCAGCCATTATTAACGGTACTTGATATAAATTGGTAATAAATGAGTTGACAGTGCCGCTTTCCCTCTATTGATGCTCCTCCACTGCGTTCCTTCCATTTTTGGAAAGCATAACTAGTTAAGGTTGAGTTGGCATAAATACTTCTACTTCCCCCCGTGGATTCATCTTCTTTTTTTCTCTTCTTCAGCTCTCTAGCAAGGCATTTACCCAGCTATACGCTGGGACTTAGGGTAGGGAATCCTATCTAAGTTGGGTCAGTGTTCGGGACCTTTGGGACCTCGAAGCAATTTTTGGAACCATCTGCTTATTTTCTTTTTTCTTTTTTTCCCCCATCAAATACGTTGGCTTGCCCAATGGTTTGGAGAAGGGAACTGCGTGTTATGTCCAGTAGTGTATTCATTCCTAGTCGTGCAGTGATCAAGACAATTTTCATGTATTAAGGGCAATGTTCGCGAAAGAGAAAGGTCTGAATTGAATGTTGTGTTTGTTGAAAGTCTGTGTACCCATAGATAGAGATACTCTTGTTGTGTGCAGCCTATGTGTAGCCTATGTGTAGATTGTGTACTTGCCTATCTGGGCCTTCCGACACCTGCATCTACGATTATGACTATCGAAAAAGATGGCTCAAGCAACCAACTTAGATACTGACTTTAGTATGCTAACCGTCTCCCAACCTCTCTTGGTCACATACAATAATCATCTTGATTGACTAATTACACCAGAACTGAGATCAGTACCTCATCAATACACCATTTGGTGGAAGCATACAACAGCGAAGAACATATTCCTACAATCCATGACTAGCTAGATAACATACCGGTTGCAGACCTCGAATAAAACGTGATATATGACAGCCAAGAATAGTAGGAACCCCGTAAAGTGATCAGCCTGCTCTAAGTCTCAATACTTCATTCATAGCCAGCTCCCCTCTTCCACGGACTTGAGCCGTCGTCCGGCGTGTGAGTGTCTATAGGCAATATAACATCGAGGTTTGCAGGTGGCTTATAGGGTCGATGACCACGAGGGATCCCACGCCGGCAGTGATAGAGGGGGGAATTTCGATGTCTCACACCACGATTCGAAGAAAGACCTGCCGAGGGCTGGCCCTCCTCAAGCGTGCCTTCACTATTTTCCTCATTGTAATGTTCACGCCTATCTAAGAAATCAACTAAACTTGGGGTGGAATTATCGTGGTTAGAATGTTTATCACCACGAGCAGCGGCACCCAAGGCATCCAACTCGGTGCCCAGCTGATGTTGAGATTGTGATCTAATAAAGGACTCTCGGTCGTCTCTCATCGGTTGGTATCGAATGTCGGGGTTCTTCGATAGCACGGCGTAGATGGACGCGATTAACACGAGAACCAGGAGGACCAGTGAGAAGACTGCGTTGTAGGCAAAGAAGACAACTCCCATCACGCCTGTGAGAATCCCAGGTTGGCTGAAGACATTTGAAAAGATCAACAGGAAGATAGCATTGACAAAGTTGATAGCTGCGATTGAGATGTTGTATATGTCCGTCTTCTTGTTCATCCAGGGCCTCAGGATGCTAACGGAGATCAGCATGGAAGCTCGATGATCACCAAGGCGATGGTCTGCACCACTGGGGCTGCTTGGCTGAGGCCGATAAACATGGATTTCACTATGATGTAGACAAGGGCTGGCATGATGAACCAGTATGCCTTGGCTTGATATTGCACGTATAGAAAACCCCATTTATTCAAACAGGCAGGGTCAGTGTACAGAATGTATGCAGGGTTTCTGTGCAGTTTCACCGACTGTTTCGCAAGACGGGCGACCTTTTGTGTTGCAAACCCAATGGCAACAGTGGTAGTCAAGAGCATGACGGAGGCAAGGATAACCTCGGCGGAAGAGTCATGTTGAGTGAATTCCCACAAACAAAGTATGCATATCTGAGGATACCCTAGCAAGATCACCCGGAATAGAATTCCCTTCATAATGAAGTTCCATTTTACTTCATCGTCTTTGATCTTTCCGGACCTGACAAGAGACTTGTGGATAACTCTGGCTATTACAACACAGATCATTGCAAGTGTGGCAAAGAAGACAAAAAAGATCAGCCCTGTCAGAAAGATGTTGGTCACTTCGATTCCTGCCTTATACCCGACACGTTGGATGCCGCGTATCACAATGCTTTTATGTGTATCTGCGTCATATTTGACGGCTCGCTTTAGAAGAGTGTCATATGATCGCTTTTTGAGAACTTGAATCGACTTCTTAGAATGGTCGACAATGAGAGTCGAAGGCTTTCCACCTGTGGATCGCTGGTACCAGGTACACAAGGTCTCCAAGAAGCCGACACGAACGAGGCCCATGCTCCATTGGAAGTTCTGAGTCCATGACTGAACAATCGGAGGCATGTGAACTGATGACATTCCAAACATTGCTTGTGACTGCATAAATCCAAAAAGCGAGATCACATTAGTTGCTATGTGCGTAGCGGCTTTTGAATGACCAAGCGCAGACGTGACTGCAGACGCAGCCAACCCCAGACCAGAAATTATCGCCGTCGTCCAACCGACCCCCGGTTGATAAACTGTTTTACCATTGGAAAGTTCTGCTTCGAGACAAGTAATACTTCTTCCCGTATCGGACGAGTTAATGAAAACGCGCACGGAGGCATCTAGGTCAGGGACAGTATAGGCAATACCTGCACCTTAGTTAGGAATCAAGTAACCCAGGCAGTGTTTGTATATTATAGACATAAACCTACCAGGAATCTGTGAAATGACTGAGTCGGGTATTTTTATGTTGGTGTTCATTACCGGGAGCTCGCCGGCCCTGACTGGGCAAAGCCCTTCTAGGTCCATGTCACATGGATTCAACACTTTGGTCATCGCGGTGTAGCCGTAGACTGTGATGATCAACTCTGCGACGACTTTGCCAGATATTGATGACCTCCCATTAAAGCTCAATGCAATGGTACGATTCCTTGGCGTGAACCTTACATTGAAGTACGTCGCTGTAAACTCCAAACTGTTGGAGCACAGATTCAGTGCTCTGGACTCGATATATTCCTCAGCTAGTACCAGCCGCGAAGCAAGTAGTGCGAAGAGGTAAAGCACCAGTGGTATCGGTCGCATTTCGCCGGTTGTTATTGGTGTATCTCAGGAATTGTTGAGATGAGACCCGCGCATACCGCGCAAAGCGGCGCTCCGGTGTTAGAACAGCAAAAGAGGTGTCCAGCTATGCTCCGATTGTCGCTTAGCTATGTGCGATGTCTGAAAGTGAAGGATAGGAAGAAAAAGGTTTGGCGATTCTGCAACGGCTGGGGCGTGAGAATTACCGCAGAAACAAAGCATAGGCACTCACTAGCTTCAACAATCAGCGCAAACAAGCCAAATAGATTAGATAAAAATTACAAGACACCAAACTTTGAGGATCTCACAGGAAGAAACTTCAGATAAAACCTAATCTCTTACGACGGTTAAGATGTAGTGCATTAAATGGTGCAGTCAAGAAGACTTCTGGCCTGCCTTGAAGCAATCAGTCCATTGCTGCCTTGATAGTGCTATGGTTCAGGTATGTCGAGATGATGTAAGGAGCCAAAAAATCGGATGAATGAAATCCAGAACTGGAAGAAGAGTCATCAAACGAAGTCAGGGTCCAATTGCACGGATGTGGCACAGGCACATGGCTTCAACCAACCAGGCCATCAAGGATGCCTAAGGTTGTTTCACACCCTTCAAGGCATTCACTCGGCCTTTCATCTCAACCAGTACGCAGGGCTTACACGTGATGGTCGTTTGTATCACAGTAAACAACAGAAAGACAAGCCCAATATTTTGCTGCCTAGCATATATACATTCATCAAGTACAATATTGTGACGGACTCAAAAGTTATGTACCTCCTGCTGTATCTCTCAATGCAACATCTATCATGCACTTTGAGAGACATTCCTTTGTTCACTTGACTTATTTTCATCGACATCAGTACTGCTCTGGTATGTTGTCCGATGGCGCAGACGACCAACGGCATCATGCTCCGCATCCCAGCTCGCCAGCTCTGCGACAGGAACTTTGACCAGGTTATGCGTAACAGACCCGTCGTCAAACTCCAACACGGTCTGTCGAAACTCATACCCTTTATATTTGGGAAGCAGCGTGATCCATATGTAGTAGTATACGCCACAGGCAGCAAGTCTGAATTATACGTCAATCAAACAGAGCATATCAGCGAGGTGCAAGATGAGTACTTACAGTCCAATGCCGACTACCATATATGTGCCGTACCAAAAGCTAACGTCACCACCGGTTGCACCTCCTGTGGGCGGGTACCATGGGGCAGCAAGCAAGTAGAGGTTCGCCAGCAGTGCAAACCCGATCGCAATGGCCCAGGATCGAAACTCGGGTCTAGGGAGATTGAGCTTGCTGCGGCGCCAGCGGATTAATAAGAGTCCGGTCACTAAGAGGAAGTTGAAGATACTCGTAGGGTAAACGGAGAGGTCGACAACTATTCGATCACTCTTGTCAGTCTGAGAATCATCTGAGGAGGGTTATTGAGAGGCACAGACCGAAGTTGAAGGCATCTCCAGCAGGAGGGGCAAGAATCATGATAACAGTCATGGCCCACTGGACGAGATAAGGCCCTAGGGGTGTTCCAAACGGCCTCGTAGAAGTCCAGAACCTAGGCCAGGGAAGTATACCTTGCCTATAGTCCGAATAATTAGCATGTTTGCTAAATGGATCTACAAGAGATGCCTAGTATTTCGGGGGGCTAGGCTAGGTATCTCACCTCCCAGTCTCTCGGAGCATTCTAGAAAAGCTAACCATAACAGCCATCAGATTACCGAATGCGCTTATGCAAATGAGTACATTCAGCGCGCGGGCCGCCCCATTGGTGCCAAAGATCTTTTTGAAGAAGATTCCTGCGGCGATTTGCTTTGAGTTCAGGATTTCTTCCCTCGAGGCGGCAGAGAAGTAGGCGACGTTCACAAGGATATAGAGTGATGTGACGAGGATTAATGAAAATGGAGCGCTCCAGCGAAGTGTTTTGATGGGATTCTGTATACATCATTAGGTCTCATTATCCTGACGCTTGGAGGATTACCAGCAAACCTTGATCTCATTAACCACACTAAAAGCGTTAGTATAGCCGGCGTAAGAAAAGATAATTTTGACCATGGCATTCGTAGCACCGTAGGCGCTTGCCGATGATGTCCCTTTCCAGGCATCATGCCAGTTGATCATCGGGTCTTCGACCTTTGTATGCCCGCCGAGCACGACCAATCCCGCGATTGAGATCCTATAATGATAGGTGAGCTGGTGGACTAGGCCATATTTGCAGTGTGCACGACATACAATACTAAGGTTGCAATCTTGACGAATCCAAACCAGACAACGACTCTCAGTGACCATTTGGTGCTGGAACTCACAACTGCATTTCTCATCAGTCAAATAGCCGGGTACTGTGTGTATTCGATGCACCAACCTAAAGTTGCAACGGTATATGCAGCCACCGCGACACCTTTCAACTGCCAGTTTGTGTACTGTGAGCCGGCAATTCCAAAGACGTACTGGGCAAAGACGATGGAGTTGCTACTCCCAAAAGAAAAGATAACATGTTTCGCTGCAAACACTGTAGGGAATAAGTATGCAGGTTTTGGGAAAGCCTGCTCAAGATACACGACTTCCGACCCAGAACGACTGGGAAAGTATGATGCCAGCTCCAGGTACACCGCAAGGGTGCTTTGGGCGAGCAGATATCCTATGAACCAGTATATCATGGAAAGGCCAACGGAGCCGACACCCTTAAGGATAGTGGCCGCTTCGGAGACATAAGTATTAGGGTCGAAATGGGGAGTTGGGAACTACTCACGTGTTGAAAAGATACCAGTTCCAACCATTTGATTGATATTTAGGCAGAGACTTGTCCAGAAGCTAACGGAGTATCCCAACGGCGAATCCGTCTCCACGGGTGCACCACTGGCATCTTGGTAGGTCACACTGGTGGAATTGACACCTTCTGCCGCTGTATATTTGACGGCACCATCTTGAATCGTACTCTCCTGGGAGGTGTTACGTTCCCGGATGGAGATGCCGGCATCCTTTTCTCTATCGTGCCAAAATGGTAGACCCATTGGGCAGGTTTGTAGCTTTCCTGTCTGGCCTGCGGGGAAAGAGAGGAAATACGGAAGAAGAGGATAACAGAGTGTAGATGACAAGGGCCGCGAAGATCCATGGACTTGTCTATGCCGACTTAAGCTACATTTATAGTTTTGTCAGACAAAATACTTTATGTCGGCCAGCTGCTGTTAAGTGTCACCCCACACAATGCTCAGTTCGGCATCGAATGACGCTATCGGGAAGTCTGATAGGCCTAGACGAGGATATCATCGCCAGTGTCCAGTGGCTGTATGGTGTCTATTGGCTCAACTTCTGAACCCGAGCATATGCTCCAGCTGAGAATGGCGACACTCATCCCCGCAATAGTATCATAAGCTTAAATCTTGACGACTAAAACCCCCCTGATTGCTGTTAGAATTTACTCCGTCTCGCCATGAAATTCAATTCCTCTCACGTGGCAGACATACATTTCCATCTTTACCAATAGCGAATCGTGAAACATCCCAGCAGATCTCGTATTGATAAGATCATTGAACAAGACCGAACATTGATTGCTGTGCAAGTGTGTCGTGGATGGTGTCAATCATCCCTGCAGTCATCTCATCAGGCCTGCTGAGAACTTCCAGTCGTCTAGCATTTCCAGCTTCGTCTTAGCCCCTGGTTTCTTCAACATGGGTTAAATTCAATTCGACCTGCATTATCAAACCCGGCCTTCTCAATTAGTAATCATCCCAGATAATGGTTACGGAAGATATTCTTGTCTACTCGACAGATGTTTGGATGAAGCGACGCGAACTAACCCTGTGCTCGGGCCGCGCGCAGAACATCTCATTTTAGTTGAGAATTATGTGATCTGATGAACCTACTACTTACTTCTTTCCCCTCCTGTTGCAATAAATCCCTCGCCACGTTCCTCCCTCATCTGCATTATAGTTCTAATTTTTTTTTTCCTCGACGTGTAGTTCGAATCGTTCCCTGGTTTCTCCATTTTTCATGGTATAGATAAAGTTCTTCCGGCTACGGTACGCTAACAGCCCAAAATCTTGAGTCTAAACACGAACCATAATCATAACCACAACTCACCAGTAGAACCATTGCACAAAAAGGACTTAATTGCTATATAACTATGATCAAACTTGCTTGTATAAACGCTCTAGAAACACCAATACCCAAGCCAAAAACCACAAACCCTTCTATGGTATCTCAAATAACGCAACCTAATATTACCGCTTCTCATTCATCCTCATCCGTCCAGTCCGTAACACTCCATGACCGAACATCATCTTCAATTACCAATTTCAGGGTGGTAAAAGTGATATTCTCGTACATCTCTCGTGCAGCACCACGTGCCTTCTTATGCCAAGGTCCTGTACCTCCCAGCCTGGCATCATTGCGACTCCGCCAGAGACCTAGTATCATCATCAGCAACTGCCCTCAAAAATATCATATTAGTAAAAAGAAAGAAAGAAAGTAAACTCACAAGTAGCCAGATTCCTCCTCTCCCCATCCTTCGTCCCAAACCAATACTTCAGCAACCCCCCGCTGGCAACCGCCTCCTGATGCGAATAGGCATCCAGATCATGCAGCCGCTGGTTATCGATGTCGGCCTGGAGCCGGGACCGGAAAACAACCACGTAGAAATGCTGCGTCTGCCACCGATGCCCGCTCTTCTGGGCCAAATCCCGCAGGAAATCAAACACGGCCTGCCAATTGAATGATTCCGTGTACGGCGCTGTAGCGTAGTCGTCACGGATAGGTGTGAGGATCGTGAGGGCTTTGGCGAGCAATTGGTTGGGTGTGTCGAGGGTTTTGAGATCCAGGAGGTGTTTGGGGTCGTTATACGGTGATGTGATGAGCAGGTCACTTTGCCGTGCTGCTGTTTCATGGGGATGGCCGAATTGGAGCTGCAGGGATGCCGCGGCGTGAAATTTGAGGGCATCGAAGTCGGTGGTGATCAGGGTGTGGTCGTACAGAGATAGATGTTGGGTTGTGGTGGGTTTGGGGCTGTCTACGCCGAAGACCGGCTTGCCTATTTCCACTGGGGCCATTGGGAGGTCTCTTTTATTTTGTTTCTCTTTGTCTTTGGGGTAGTCACTTTGGGGAAAATTAGGGCTGGGGTGAGATGTGGAATGCAAATGGGGTATCAACGAAGCCAGAGGATACTGCGAAAGGACAGACTTTTGCTCGAAAACGAAGGAAAAGGGGAGACAAATGGGAAAAGTCTACGAAACGTCACCTATATATCTCAAACGCCCCCCGGGGAAAGGGGCGGTATTGAGCGAGCTCCCCTTCAAAGCACGCAATACCCTGTCGAGACTGCCTGAGGCCCATTCGGCAAGACGGGTCACCATTGGGCCGTCGCTTCCCGGGGGATTTTCAACTAAAGCAACTTTATGCTTAGCGCCCCCGTTTTGGCGTCTTTAGGGCAAAGATGTCCCCGGACTACTTGCAGAAACAGAATCATGAACAATATACCAGGCATTGAGTCAAGTAAATCTTTCTTTATGAGTGTATCTTTAGTTTTATAATGACGTTCCAGAACTATTCTCGACGTTCTAGCGGCGAGATTTTGGGACTAGCACGCCATCTGCTCAGAATTTTACGTCTGACCCGGAGTATTTCGTCACCAGTTCCATGGTACCTGGCAATCGGCACGTGGCACGGCAGGGTTATCCGACAGCCTCCCGAGACAAATACAGGGATTCATAGGTGGAAATCTGAAGTAATAGCTCTATTACATTTCATTCTCTTCGAGTTTTGAATTGTCTCGAGGTTATCATACATTGGTCGATGGTATCATGCGAATTCCGAACGGATCCCCAATCTCAAAAACGCCTTTCTTAAGATGCTCAGGAAAAAAAATAAATAGAAGCCCCACTATCGCTTTAGGGGCAGCGGTGGAGGGCCCATCTTACCATCGCCTGTATCGACCTTCTTCTGTGGAGGAATCGGCGGCACCTTGAAACCTCCATTATCCTTCTGTGAAGAGTTATTGTGGCTTTGGCTACCGCCAACCTGGGTGAAAGTACCCGACTTGAACCATCGGTCTTCCTCTGCCTTACGTTTGCGGCTCAACTCTGCTTGCACCTTGGGGTCAACGAGCTCAAGTCCCTGCACCGGCGTAAAGGCAATGGTACTGGCCGTACCGCTGCCGCCCAGCGAAGTACCAATGCCAGAAGAGCGAAGACCTTTGGCTTGTAGAACACTTGCCGTTCCACCAACCCCAGAGCTGAACCCACGGAGAGACGAAGCCGTGCCACTGACAGGAGTCGCGGTTCCCCAACCTTTGTTCGACTTGCTGAGTTTGGCTCGAGTCCTGTTGTCGATCTGAGTTGCTCGAACCCGTCCATCATTCTGCTGGCCGAGCATTCCCAATCCAACTGTTCCTTCACCTGTACCGTAGCCAACTTCGGCTTCTTCCTTGCCGAAGGCCATCCGATTCTGCGCCTTGCGAATTTCTGTCATAGCAACTGCTTCCTTAGCCTTTCTAGCTCTTCTACCACCTCGCTTGCGGGCTGGCTTGTCATCGGGAGCGGGGAGGGCCTTCACTCCAGAGTTCGGAGGAGGTTCAGTCAGCTTCTCTAACCGCGTGAAGCATTGTTGTTTCAGATCCTCGCCTAGCGATCCGTCGGGGCTAAAGTTGGATACGTCCGCACGGGTAGCGAGGACCATCTTAGCTGAGACGATACGGATCGCCTGGCGTTTCAGATCATCTGGGACACCCTGTATCAGTTCCGAATTGTAAAGAAATCCCCGCGATCTGACGCCAATATTCGTAGCAAAGCCTAACCCTTCGGTTCTCTTATTGCCTTGAGCACCTAGATTGCACGCCGGGATCTTAGCGAGTTCACGTAGTCCTCCGGTCTGGTTAAGGAACTGAGCTGCTGTCTCTGGTCCGATCAAGGCTGCTAGATTGGGGGCGATCTGCGTGATGCGAGACTGGATGCTTTCCGTGAGCGCCTTCCGCTCTCGATCCAACTTCAAAATCCTCTCGCAAGTATCGAGCACCGTCTTCAATTCCGACTCGGTCATTTCACGTCCTCTGGTGGTGGTACCCTCCACAGAAACAACCATCAATGAGGGGCCATCCAAGATAGACTTGAGCGGCTCGCCGACCATATTGTCGGCTGATGAGGAGATAGCTTTGATATCGTTGAGCGGGCCATTTTTTAAGATAGCGACTGTCTTCGCGTAGTCGATCGGACTCGTAACAAGGGTTTCTAGTTCTGGAAATCTGACCGAGTAGTGGTCGCGCAAAACTTTGTGTAGACGAGTAAGCTCGTCACCGGTGGAGAGGGCGACCTCGAACTCATTGGTGACCTCAGAGCCAGCTTTTTGTAGGTGCTGCTGCTCTTCATCCACATCTTCCTCGACTCCCTCGCCCGCCTGAAAATCCTCGTCGTCCGATTCAAAATCCCTCAAGAGCTCCTCAGCAGTAGACATGATGAGCGAGCTGCGACACGACCCAGAGGTGAACTATGAATAAGGTGAAGTGGTGGTTGAATGAACTTTCGACGCCGCCGCCGAGTTGCTTTTCCATTTCGGTCATGTGCTTAGTCATCCATCTCCAGAGCTGCTGATCTCGGGTGGCGCGACGAGCCTGACATGCAACTTTTCCGATTCTTGGCTAGCAGAACCAAAAGTCGACTCAGCAGCAACGACATCTGACTTGGAGCTGTCCCGATACCGCGCGGTCGGTTAGAAGCTAATTTCTAGGCCATTGGCTTCCGGAGGAGGTACACGGTGCTCCTAAAGTCAACTTGGGTAGTGTGCTCTACCCAACACCCCGTCCGAATACGCGTCGCCGACAGCTTACCTGCTTGATATAATCTCATTTCACCATGGAGTCGTCCCGTGGCCCTCCCAGGGTCAAGAACAAGGCCGCTGCGCCGATCCAGATCTCAGCGGAGCAGCTGCTCCGTGAGGCTGTCGACCGGCAGGAACCCGCGCTGCAGGCCCCGACGCAGCGATTTGCCGACTTGGAAGAATTGCACGAGTACCAAGGTCGCAAGAGAAAGGAGTTCGAGGACTATGTTCGCCGAAACCGGATTAACATGAACAACTGGATGCGCTATGCAGCATGGGAACTTGAGCAGAAGGAATTCCGCCGGGCGCGTTCTATCTTCGAGCGAGCGTTGGACGTTCTCCCGACCTCAGTACCGCTGTGGATCCGATACATCGAAGCGGAGATGCGAAACAGGAATATCAACCATGCGAGGAACTTGCTTGACCGTGCGGTGACGATCTTGCCCCGTGTCGATAAGCTTTGGTACAAGTATGTTTATATGGAAGAGACTTTGGGAAATATCCCAGGTACACGGCAGGTCTTTGAGCGATGGATGTCATGGGAGCCGGAGGAGGGAGCATGGAGTGCGTATATCAAGCTCGAGAAGCGGTACAATGAATTCGAGAGGGCGCGCAATATCTTCCAACGTTTCACAATTGTTCATCCTGAACCGAGGAACTGGATCAAGTGGGCTCGATTTGAGGAAGAATACGGGACTAGTGATCTGGTGAGAGAAGTCTACGGTGCAGGAGTTGAAGCGCTGGGTGAAGACTTCATGGATGAGAAGCTTTTTATCGCCTATGCCAAGTTCGAAGCGAAGATGAAGGAGTATGAGCGTGCACGTGCTATCTACAAGTATGCGCTTGATCGACTTCCCCGCTCTAAATCCGTCACATTGCACAAAGCCTATACTACATTCGAGAAGCAGTTTGGTGATAGGGAGGGTGTTGAGGATGTCATTCTTTCCAAACGCCGAGTCCAGTACGAGGAGCAGCTCAAGGAGAACCCTCGGAACTACGACATTTGGTTTGACTTTACTCGCCTCGAAGAGACCTCCGGGGACCCTGAGCGGGTACGCGACACATACGAACGGGCCATTGCACAGATTCCTCCGTCACAGGAGAAGCGGCACTGGAGACGTTATATCTATCTCTGGATATTCTATGCCATCTGGGAAGAAATGGAAGCCAAAGATGCGGAACGTGCTCGTCAAATCTATAACGAATGCTTGAAGCTCATTCCACACAAAAAGTTCACATTCGCCAAGATATGGCTTATGAAAGCCCAGTTTGAAATCCGCCAGATGGAGCTCCAAGCCGCCCGCAAGACATTGGGTCAGGCGATCGGTATGTGTCCCAAGGACAAGCTCTTCAGAGGCTACATCGATCTCGAGCGCCAGCTTTTCGAGTTTGTACGGTGCCGGACACTGTTCGAGAAGCAGATCGAGTGGAATCCCTCCAACAGTCAGTCCTGGATCCAGTATGCCGAGCTGGAGCGGGGTCTCGATGATAGCGATCGTGCGCGGGCCATCTTTGAGTTGGGAATTGATCAACCGACTCTGGATATGCCCGAGCTGGTGTGGAAGTCATACATCGATTTCGAGGAATACGAAGGCGAGTATGACAGAGTCCGGCAGCTCTACGAGCGTCTTCTGGAGAAGACCGACCACGTCAAGGTGTGGATCAACTATGCCCGGTTCGAGATCAACATACCGGAAGACGAGGAAGAGGAAGAAGAGGAGGAGGAACGGCCAGTCAGCGACGAGGCCAAACGGCGCGCTCGGGCGATCTTCAACCGTGCACACAAGGTGTTCAAAGAAAAGGAACTCAAGGAAGAGGTAAGTGGTGCCTTGATATATGGGAAGAGGGAAGTCTTGGTTCTAATTTTGTACAGCGTGTGGAACTCCTCAATGCCTGGCGGTCATTCGAACATACACATGGGTCTCCCGAGGACATCGACAAGATCGAGAAGCAGATGCCGCGTCGCGTCAAGAAGCGTCGCAAGTTGGACGACGACCGGTACGAGGAATACATGGACTACGTGTTCCCGGCCGACGATCAATCAGCGGCCAACCTGTCCAAGCTGCTGCAGAGAGCACATGCCTGGAAGTCAGGTCAGGCATGATAGGCTGGGTATTCACCGGAAAGGTAAAGAGTTGTGTGTTCAATTTATATGTGGGCTATGGGTACATACCATGGGATGGCCGTCGATGCAGTTTATATCAAAATTAGGTAGAACTAATCCCAACAAAATAATGATCATGAACCATGTTGCCTTTGTCTAATCCGTACTACAGAGGGTTCGGTGTGATTTGACAATTCCTTCTCTTCATTTACCCAACCGATCTTCCGAATTCTAATCAGCTTTCTCTTCATGGTATATAATATAGAGCTCTATATATGCACAAATCTGAAGCAAACCAATGACACAGGGTCTTGTCAACTCTCATATGCAAACCCAAAAATGTGCTACAGTGTCCATGCAGGACCTGAAAGATCGTGGAGTGGATCCTACTGTGGCAAGGCATGAAATCCCCACCCGTATAATACCCTATCACTCAGGGCATCGGAATATACTTGGCCAAATTTATAAAAGGATGCTCAAAGCCGAGATGGGCACCCATCGACGCCTTATCCAGTCTTTGTGGCCCCTCTCAAGTGATCAAGGCCAGAACACTATCCACAAGAAGAACAATTTCTCTGCTGCATTGCCTCACGGAGGGACCGACGCCTCTATTTAAGACGTGTCAGAAACTTGCTTTTAGATAGATATAAGTGACTCATGGCAACACGCCAGTACACACCGCTTTTGCAAGAACATGCTAAAGAGCGCTCATGCATGCCTAATAAGTACGTAGATCATTCATGGTCGGGTATCCAGCTGAAGACCAACATTTTCACGGGGCTGATCTGTGGCAGTGCAAATCTCCAGCTTACCCACTTTATACACCGTCGGTAAGTGGCGATCACTCCGCCTTTTTTCGCAACTTGTGGCTCTGCTACGTATAACCTAGGGTTCCTAGATTTTAAAAGCGCTGGGCATTGTCCTATTGTAACGAATGCTGGCAGCGAAACCTAATCGAACTACATTCTCAGACTCCCAGTCCCTTACCACCATCTTCCACCTCACATTATGCAATCAACCCGACTTGAGCTGGTCCCCTTATCCACAGACCATCTGCCAGGTTATTTCTTGGTGCGGTCCGATTGGGAAATTGAGAAATGGAACAGTCCCAAGCCATTCACCTCAATACAGGAAGCAGAAAAAGATTTGTTATCAAGAATATGGAGTGTCGACCCTACGCAAGATACATACGCAATCCTCCTCCGCCAGGACCTGGATCCCAAGACAATTGATAGGTCACAGTGCACAGAAGTCACAGATAGCGACAGTACAGATAGTGACGGTGTTCTCGTGCCTGGAGGTTTCATCGGCTATATAGGTGTCTATAGACTCGATCAGGTGCCCGACGTCCACTATACTATCCACCGATCTGCGTGGGGGCTTGGATTTGCGACTGAAGCACTACTCGCGTTCACAGAGTTGTTCTGGAAGACCTACCCCGAACACTATCGATTGATAGGACGTTGTGACACCGAGAATCCGGCTTCGGGTCGGGTAATGGAGAAAGTGGGGTTTGAATACTACGATTATATATGTGCAGATGAGTTTCAGCCATGGATGGTACCATCAGCACGAGATAGTCTGCGATTTGTACTGGTTAGGCCGGGCTACACCTTTGACTAGAGTGCTTTGTCGCAAGGTTGTGGCGG